AGCTACTGACTTAAAGAATTTGAACTTTTCAGTCTGAAAGATAAAGACTGATAAAGGATTGGATCAAAGTTCTTAAATTATGAAGAAAAAGCTGGAATGTTTTATATTGTGTCCAGAACAACTTGAAGTTGACATCTGCCAGGACACCATGATCTTACACATCATTTGCAAGAAGAATATTAAATTTGGCAGTTTGATCTTTCTTACATTATATAAATTTATTCATCAGATTCATAAACCCAAAAACCTATAGTGTCTCTTAAAATTTCTAAGATATTGTTTCATACCATAATAAGCTTACTATCTCATTGGTAAAAATATATAAATAGATTTAAGAAAGTTTGAGACAAATTCATGAATTCTAGGTTCATATTTCTGTTGAGGCTTTGGAGTCAGAAAGGGCCTTAGAGGTTTTCTAATTTCATTTTTATTAAGGTATGAAAATAATATCTGGAGTACATTCTTAATGTCATAGAGAGCAGTAGTACTCCTCACAAAATGTCTCCTGATGCCCTGTCAAAGCCAAAACATTGACCTAGATGGCCTGGGTCATGACTCAGTATGATGCTTCTCATGTTGTGAGTTAGAAATTTTTTACCCACTTGGTGGCCAGAAACAGACCACATACAGATTTGTTCCTAAATGTGCTTATTTAGATAGTCACACAGTTGCATTTATAAATTCCATTTGGTTGAGTGTAGGCTCTGACAGATCTTTGAAAGAGGGAAGTTTCTTGAATTGCAACCTTAAAAATCAGGAGTTAAAACTAAGAAGGAAGGACAAATGTTGAGAATCAAATTATGATTTTTTTAAAAGCTCAAATTGAGGTGAATGGTTAATGCTGACAGAGCTAAAAGCGCCATCATGTGGCTCAGAGTAGGGGATTTTCACACATATTTCTTGGCAATAAACAGTATAATCTCAGAGGTGCGGAAGCCAAAAACCTCTGCAGAACAACTTCTATAACCTCTTCCTGAACCTCCGTTGCTTGCTGTACAGAGTAAAATCTTTCTGAAACAGGTTTTAACACGTCTCAAATATATTTGAAAAATTGCCACTACAGTGGTAATTGTAGCCTGCTGTTTCTGTTAGTTTACATACAGGATACCTATTCTAAGTGTTTCACACATGTGTGTACATATATGCACACAAGGTTTTTTGGCATGGTATTTCTAGTTTTAGATTTACTATGCTAAAGTTAAACTTATTCATCTAATTTATACTTTAATGAAAATAATATGAAAACGTTTATGAAGAACAAGCTTGAAGGTATTCTTTAACATGATTTTTGTTTTTAAAATTGAGCTTATTGCAGTTAAATTGAGAATTATCTCCAGGGCAACATAAACTTTGAAAGGAATGGAAGATACTTGGAGCGAAGAAAAATGACAAAAAGCTTTTGAATTTCATCTAAGAAAGGATAGAAAAGAAAGCAGCGTACTTGCTGCCTTATTCTTTTTGAAAAAGCTCATAGCAAAAACCAAGTCAAGTTTTATATTGAAGTTTTTATTCCATCGTTAAATTCAGTTTATATTAGTGTCAAGTACTATTCTTCATTTTGTAGATTGAGAATCAGAGAGAGTCTTAAATTCACTCATACAATATCTAGAAACGTTTAATGTAATTTTTTTTTACTGTAGTCAGAAAAATGAAACAAAGGAGAGGAAAATAATAGCTGGTGAAGTATATTCAGTTCCTATGAAAGGGTTTATGCAAAGGTATCCTCAACTTTTTGGTGTCTTTTTCTGACTTTAATTAGAGGCAGCATGTAGTAGAAAGAGCTTAGACCTTGAAAGACCTGAATTCAAATAATAGATTTACTATTTGTTAGCTCTATTGACCTTAGGAAGTCAGTTAACCTCTCTAAGCTTCAGATTCCTGCACTATAAAAAGTTAATGTAAGTTGTGTGAAGATTAAATGAAATGGTATATGAAACCACCTAACAGAACATGTGGAAAAATGAAAAAGTTCTGGAGATAGATGGTGGTGATAGGTGCAGAACAATGTGAATATACTTTATTGCCACAGCAATACACTTAAAAAGTTAAAATGATAAATTTTGTGTCATACATTTTATCACAATTATAAAAAAACCTACCAAATAATAGGCACTTAGTATATTTTAATTTTCCCCTTGCCTTCTTTATAGATTGAATTTTCTTTTAACTCTTAGTGTTTTTCTCAAAAACTATCAAGTTATATATTTGGAGATTTCTCATAAAACTATCTTAAATTGTGTGCA